ATTCTAAGGGGGCATACCAATGCACTAGCCCCTTAGAATCCGAAAACTGCAAGTTTGAAATTCCATATCTCCGAATTAAAGCATTTGTCGATGTTGTGAGTGCCCAAACCGGTATTTGCAGGCCATGGCCACCAATTTGGCTATCTCAACTAAAAACTAATGTTCAGGTGGGAGTGTCCCTTTAAGCAATGAGTGCGGTCAGCCGACCAAGACGAGGTGATCACTGCCGGCAGGTCGGCACCGTTTGAACTCGGCGGGTCAGTCCACATGACAGAGAGATTAACATCAAACAGCCCAACTCACCCAGCGGATGATAAAGGTCAGCAGATCATCGGCAGAAACACGGTCAAATAATGACTCTAAACAGCTGCTGTGATATCATTGAGTTGGTTTTGATCGCCAATGGATAAACACAAAAAGGTAATATCATTTTCATAATTATACTGTTTTACGGAGATTAACCAGCCTTCCAATGATTTTTCCAAAACGTGTCATTGGAAGGGTAACGGATTTTAGGGAGTCATGACCCCTATCTCTTGAGACCACCAGCAAGCTGGAGAAACTAACACTGGATCATTCTTCCTACCACCAGGCCAGTCGATTCTGACTATCAAATATTATTTCCAACTTAAACCACACAAACGGCCCTATGTAGGCTCGCTATGATGCCCAAAACAGCGCAAGAAGCTAGGCTGATGATCCGTTGGCACCCCATTTGCATGGCTGGCCGTCGCTGGGTCGTCCCCGGTGTCATGCCACCCCGGCGATAAAATGGTACGAAACGCCGTTATGAGCTTATAGGACATGAACGGGCTGGCAATGGCCCGTTTTCTTCACAAGACAAAGAAGCCGGACGTTCGGTCACCTGTGGCACGGATCGCCTGAAACTGAGAGCGACAGGAAGCCAGACGACCTCCAGACCAGTGTGACAGATGTCGCCTTTTTCCTTTCTATCGAGTTGATTTGATTCCACCAAATGAGGTGAGACCGCGAAGTCCTAGGTTAAACAAGATGTGCTGCAAGATCCCCGAAGACATTCACCGAACACGATACTAACGATACATGACTGCTCCTCAGTGTCCATTTTAAATACTGATAAACTTCCGACAACATGGCAGAGTTGCAAATGGAACAATCAACGGGGAATCCCTGAACAAGCTCGCACAACACAAAATGTTGAAAAGAAATGAACGTCAAATTGTTCACTTATCAACCAAAGGAGCGGTTGCCGTCAGGTAGCAGCAGAGTTTGGAATCGGAAGGATGCCAGGATTCTAGTCACTCATAAACAGCACCCCAATGTGCGCCACGTCCACGTGCAGCGCGCCAGAAGACGCATAATCGTCGCTACATTTCCGCCAGCACGTACCCAACCCCACAACGGCCATTAGCCAGGCGGTCGCCCAATCCATCATAAAATAACCCGTCAGTTGTAAAAGCGCCCGGCTGACTCACTATACAGGTAAGCACATTCGCTGCAATGGAAGTCAGCGGGCGGACCGCGGCCCGGCAGTTGCAGTAATATGGTACCACCAAGGCCACCAAGCCAGCATCGAACCGGGGTAGAAGCGGCTCGGCCTGGACCCAGCAGGGCGCCGAACGGCCAAGAAAGCAAGTATCGACCGGTGCCGTGACTGTGAGTCTCGCTCAACTGTTTGGCGGCGCCGTCACGTCACGGCATGTCACGTGACGTCACGCTCCTTTTTCCCAGCGGGAGCGGGAGGGAGCATGCAGCCAAGATGGCCGGCGGGTCTGACACAGCCGCATCTGACACGGCGCCGCCCCTCGGGTCTATCCTCCGGGGCAGAGCCGGAATTCGGTGGTTATTTTCCCATCGGGCACTGTCGACCCGGACGCGCGGCGAGCGGCCGCGTCTTCAATTCGTATCGGACACAGCGCCGACCGAATCGTCAGGACCTGGAATGGGTCGGACCGGTGTTGGACAGGGCGGCCGGAATTGCCTGGGGCGCCGGGTACGAGCGCCCTTCTTCTTCTTCTTCTTTTGCACCTCACCCGTCGCCCCCCTAGGGGGACGACGGCGCAGGCGGGTCGACCGGAGGGTCGGTCCGCCCGACAGCCCGGATGAATTCAATCACCAACGGCGCCGGTCCGCCGAGGACGTCCCCCAGGCTCGGGTTGAGTCCCCAGCGGCGGCGCCGCGCAGCCTCGTAGGCCGGACAGTCGGTCAGCAGGTGGGCCGCGCTGTCCGGCTCGCCGCACGCAGGGCAAGCCGCGTCCACCGCCAGGCCTAGGCGGTGGGCGACGTCCCGCGTGAGCGGCGATGCGCCCGTCCGCAGCTGGGAGAGGGTACATGCCTCCCAGCGGGACAGGTCGTTGTGGCCCGGTGTGGGCGCCGGGTGGGGGTGGGACGCTCTTGTTCTCGCGTCGACCATCGTCCCCACCCGGCGCCCGATCGCGCTTCTGGCGCTGGCGAAGTCGATCTGGACGTCCGGCTGCTCCGCAGCGGCCGCTTCTCCGGCCAGCTGGTCGGCGTGTTCGTTTCCGTCCAGGCCAGCATGCCCCGGCACCCACTGGAAGGTGACGGTGTAATATGGTACCACCAAGGCCACCAAGCCAGCATCGAACCGGGGTAGAAGCGGCTCGGCCTGGACCCAGCAGGGCGCCGAACGGCCAAGAAAGCAAGTATCGACCGGTGCCGTGACTGTGAGTCTCGCTCAACTGTTTGGCGGCGCCGTCACGTCACGGCATGTCACGTGACGTCACGCTCCTTTTTCCCAGCGGGAGCGGGAGGGAGCATGCAGCCAAGATGGCCGGCGGGTCTGACACAGCCGCATCTGACACGGCGCCGCCCCTCGGGTCTATCCTCCGGGGCAGAGCCGGAATTCGGTGGTTATTTTCCCATCCCATTTATTTTCCATCCCAATGGTCACTGCGGGAAGCGGCAGCGGACATACAGAGATGTGGAGCCGGAAAGAATCGTCATCGGTGTAAAAACAGGGGCTCTTTTTGGGACGATTTTGCCCCGTACCAGGACCTCACATACACAAATTGCAACGTCCAAGGTGCAGTGCATTGCTTGAAAGTAAAATAATTGTGATGTGATGTTAACAACACTGCAGTACAATCTGCAGTCCATACATGAGTCCGATAATGGCTGTGGGTGTTTCATATTCATACGTAATGCAGGATTACTTGAATGTAGGAGGGTCAGCTTATTGTATGTATTTGGTAGTGCTAGTATAATATAGCATACTTAAAGTATAGTTACAGTATTATATAGTAACTTATTTGGTAGGGCTAGTTTGGTTTCATGTAAACACAAACGTAGATAGGCAAGGTGATCACATGAGACGTTCTAGACTTTGTTTCATACAACTGCATCAATAAAACCAGTGAAAACATCAGTTTCCAACAAGTATAATCAAATTAAAAAGTTTTCGTAAAAGATAAGCAGAAATCGCATGATGCAATTGTAAGTGAGACTAGCTTGAGCTCGCCTCGATGGTGACGCGAAAATACTATCACAAAAAAAAAAAAAATAATGTCACGTCAGGAAGGGACAGATAATGAATGGCAGTTGTACTTTACTTGCTAATGCGATAATGTAGCTCTCCTTTACCGTCATACGTTTCAAATGAAGAAAATGCAACAATGTGTTACGTCCCTAAAGTATTCATTGAACTCCAAAGCGACAACACGAACGTGTTCGGACGTCTTATCGTATTACCGAGTGGCTACATTGCAAAACTGAATTAAATCACCACTCTTCTTTCTACCATAGTGTAGTTAGCATGCCAATAGCCTTTCAAACTCCTTTTCAATTGTCGGAGCATTTTACAAGTTAAATGGACAGATAACCGAAGCCGGAACCACCTAAGCGGGTTTTGCAGCACAGGTTCTAATCTTTACTGCCCAAGAGGGAAATTCCAGGTTCACATCAGAATTTAGAGTCGAGTGTTTAGCATTCCAGTAGCCGGACACGGCCCATTCTGCCCTCTGTTATCACCTGGCTTGTAACGTGACCTCTCCCCCTAATTGTACCCCATACCCGACCTCCACCTCTGACCTCAGGTCGTACCCGTCTCAAGCCCGCTTAGAATATTTCTGACCGCGGGTATACCCGGCTCCGCTCGCCTGAAATATTCCGTTCAACTCTCAAATCCATGCCATTATGGTCATGCATCAAAAGGACGATATAAATACGTAAATAAAAGGAAGCAAGAGATTGCCTACTGATACAACAATAGTCGAGGCAATTGTCGTTGAGTTCAGGAACAGTGCTCAAGACACACTGGAAAGTGAAAGCCTCCATTGGGCCAGCGCCTTCTAACCATGTCGCGTATTTGCCCAGCGCCAACTCACATAGCGTCGGTAAGGCATACAGGGCTCAAAATATAGCGACATCCACGCATTGACTGTCAAACAAGAATAAAAGGGGGCTGATCAATAGGAAATGATTCCCAGAATAAGGCTGACTCTATTACACATACTGATGATATTTGGAAACAGTATGGCATAGGTATGTAATACTGTGCATTTTCTACATTGTTGATGATTTGCCAGGGGATCAAATGATCATTGTGGACTCAGAACAAACTAGCACCGGACAGTTTGTGGAAGAAACCCGGTACCATGACCCCAGGTTTACAAGGTCCATAGATTGAGTTCATAGCTAATTCACTGATGACACAATCAGCATGATTTTCGCTAGGTCATCGATCTTACGGGGCCCAATAAATGAAGATCAACTTGATAAAAGTCATCCACATACTGCTGCAAACTTTGACATGATGCAAATCGTGTAAACAGATCTATCACTATCAAACTCCTTGTCTTTCCTAGTAGAATGTGGAGCTGCCGTGCACTCTGCATTTTCCTGCGACATCAAAGGCAGCGAATGCATAGCATGAAGACGCTGATATCAATTCCTGTGTAAAAGCAGCCTATCTCCACCTGCCACCCCCTGTCTATTCAGACACACTCGCCGGGGTCACTCAGTGTCCCACCCGGCACCCCTCGAGGCCGCCGAGGGCCACTCACCTCCTCGAATATGAACTGGTCGAATTCCTCCAGCGGCCGGCCGTACATGTGAGTCGGGAACGGCGAGAACTTGGTGGGCAGCACAGAGCCATCCTGCAGGCGCGCGTTGCGCCGCGGCAGCACGCCAAAGTGCTTGCGGGCCTCGGCCGTCCTGGTCTCGAGCCGCTCCAGCGAGGCCTGTGTGAAGGGTTTGATGGTTCCCGGCGGCGGCGTGCTGCCGCCGCTGGCCGTGCCGCTGCCGGCGGTGGGCCGCCGGCCGGGCCGGCCGCGGCGCAGCACCCACTGCAGCGGCTTACCGCCGCCCATGGCGGCCCGGCGCACTGACTCCGAGCTGACCGGTCACGGACACTGCCGGCGGCGACTCCCGCTCGGCGGGCGCATGGTGCGACACTGGCGGTCGGCCGCCGCCCGAGCCGGCCGCCCACCGCCCGGGCCGCCGCCGCCGCTGCCGCCGCCCGCCGGTCCCGGCTCCAATCAATGGTCGTGTGCAGCGCCGACCCGGCGCCGCCAGCGCGCACACATTCGCACACAGTCGGACCACAGACGGGCCGCGAGCACGGCGCAGGGTCGAGGGCCTTCTTACGGACTTCAACCAGTCCCAATGGTTTTACAGTGAATCGAATATTGACACGCGAAGTCATGTTTATCTAAAACATTGCCATCCATTTCGTAACAGGTATTGAAAAATGTAAGTAATGTGCTGCACCATCAATTCATTTTCAAACTATGTAGGCAATCATTGCAAGGAGGCTGAAGGACGCAAGATAATCAGGTCCTCAGAAAAAAAACATGACAAACTTGTTTGGAAGTTGATATTTTGGCTAGCATCCTTTATCTTCCATACACGTCGAACTTCCCAAGACTTGGACTTAAGTAGAGTAACGTCAGCATAACATCCTACCCGTTTAAGTACCACTGCACCGGCCGGCCGGTTGTGTCAGTGACGCCCCCGGCATATCTCAGTGGCCCCGAGCATCTCGTCCTTGACCCACGGACCCGAGCAGCAGTTCGAATAGATGTGTCCCCGAACGGTTCAGCTATCGCTGCCAACTGGAAAACCAGCAAACGCCGCAATAGTCGCGTTTACATAGCATTTTTGACGAGGCTCTAGTACGGCGCACGGTAACGCACAAGGTAAGTAGTTACATATTACTTTCGAAGCTGAATATGGGCAATGCCTTTGTTATGCTTCTAAAAGTCAAGTTATGGCTGATACCTACGCCAACTAAATCGAGTTTTGCTATAACTACAAATGTACTGTCGCACTTACAATAACTCCCCCAATCGCCTCGTTGCTGGTGCCCCGTAAGACCACCAAGCATTTCCTATAACCGATTAAAATCATTAATAATTAGGATTACCCGACATGAATAATTCTGCTTTGCCTTTGATTATTTGTATCGCATTCCGACAAAATGTATGACAACTTTTCTACATTGATTAGGTACATAACAACAAATTCGTATAGTATCGCGTCTATATCAAGTTTCTTAATTAGACAAGCCCGAACACAACGTATTACGTGTATTTGCCTTCTCAACTAATTTTTGAACTGCTGGATAAGTTAAATTTGTTGACCCAAAGTTTGTGCCACTAAGGGGAAAACCGGAGAACTTTTCGTCGACGTCTGTTTAGGTTTGCTTTGTGGCCAAATTTATCCAGTGGACAGTGTATCGTCAGGTTCTGCTTGATGTAAGGCCATCCGCCAATATATATTACTGACCGGGCCGACGAAATTATTTGGAAACGAGGTTTGCAAAATTGACGGAGGCCCGAGTGCGGAGCACGAGGGCCGGAGTCAAATTTTGCAAGCCGAGTTTCCAAATAATTTCGTACGGCTGAGGTCAGTAAGATTTTTCCTACATGCCGCATACCTGCCGCATACCTGCTAAGTAGTTTCGACAGGTTTTGGTGACACTTTTATACGATTGTTTTGTCCCTAATTTCCTAACAGTGATTGCGCTACTGCTGTGGATAAAGTTTTAAGGAAAATTTATAGAAGAAAATGCATCAAAACTCCTTGCTTCAAAAAGAATCGCGTCTGAAAACATCAACTCAGAATGGCACAACAAGTGGATATCCAAGGAGCATAATACATGAATGATTTGCCACGACATAAGAACAAGAAGAAAGTATAGTATTCCTAGTGATTAAACGTGAATTTTCCAGTGCTCTTGCAAGAATCTTTGCTTTATTCATGTAATCGTACTTTGTTGATGCCCTATGGCTAGGTAAACTTCGTGAAATACATTATATTTTCCATATTTTACATGTTTGTTTCGAGGAAAGGACTACAAACTTTTGTACAAAATATTTCAAAACCCTTGATGAGCAGAGCAGACATTGTTTACCAAAAAATGTTAGTTTTCTAATTTTACGAGGCAAATACCATGCAATAATTGATGTCAATTATACACTCCCTGTCAATTATGCTTCTGGGCTAATGCGATAAACAATAGTTAAGAGGTCATTGCCCTGGGCAGTAAACCCGGGCAGTAAACTTTTGTTTACTGCCCGGCCTATCAAATAACATGGCATTTTGACACAGACAGTTTCTTGGTCATAGTTTTACTGCCCGGCTCGTGCTGTGCTTAAGACATACCCCGGCATGTAGGAATATTCCTTTGAGAAGGAGGGAGAAACTTGAGCATTGCCTGCCCATCAGAAACTCGTGACTGTTGCCGGATGGCATTGCCTTTCTTCCATGCGCATGGATGCAGGGCTTTTAGCAGCATGCATGCTGCTAAAAGCCCTCAGTGAAAAAAAAATAGACACCTAGGTATTCAGCGAAAAGGGAAGAACATATCTGAAATCGAGCAAATGTATGCAGCATTAGGCATTATATTGTGCTAGTCAAATACCAGCAACAGGATGAGCGCCTGGAAATACCATGCAAATGGTATGCAAATCCAGCTGGTGTGAGAAACTTTCAGCATTAGTCCGAAAGAGCCTTTCTTTAAAACCATTCGTTACAAGTGATTCCCCTGCAGCACCCACATTACAGAACTAGCCAGCCCTACACTGGCGGTCCCAGGGGGGGGGGGGCCACGGGGGCCATGGCCCCCCCTTTGGTGCTGAAAGGTGGGGCCATACTATCTTTTGGCCCCACCTTTCAGATCGAACAAAAGTCCTAGAAAAGCTTTTTGTATGTTTCATTTTCTTTCTTGCGCCATCAAAGGACGTAAATTTCACTCATGAGTGGGCTCAGTTTCGTACTCTGTCAATTTGGCGGTCAGCGTCGCTGGCACCGGTCGAGTGTGGCCGCATCTTACATGGAATATCAGCGTGGGTTTACTTGAGACTCTCGTAGGCCCAGCAATGGCTGGCATGAGACCTCTTCGACAGTGGCGGGTGGGCCCTGCCAAAGGAGCGTGGCTCTAAGACACTAAAGTAAGACCTCATGGGTTGGTGCTGTGCACCTCAGAAGCCCGGTGGTGACGCCGTATGCCGGCTTGGTGAGCGTGGGATCTCCGGGGCCTGCATAGAGTTTGCATTAGCTAGTATGTAATTTCAGAGGCCTGTATGTAATGTGTACACAGTGGCGGTCGCGGGGGGCATCAGGGCCATGCCCTCCCAAGGCACATAAAGGGGGCCATCATATCATTTGCCCCCCCCCCCCCCCCTCAAGCAACCGATGGGCCCCCATAGGTGTATGGGACCCTGGCCCTGATTCGATCGTCACGAGGCTAAAAAAACACGCCCACACCGGTCTTTGAGCGTCCAACACTGACCTCTGAGGGAACTTCAGTGGCGGTCAAGCGCCCACGTTGACCGCTAAGAGCCCACATCGACCTCTGAGGCCCCACATCTGACCTATGAGGACCCCTTACCGGCCTCAGGGGCCCCAACCGGCGTCTGAGGGTCTCACACCGGTCTCTAGTGGCCTTATTGCTGTCTCTGGTGTCCCAAGACGAACATTTAGGTGCCAGTGAGGGCCCCGCATTGGCTGCTGAAGACCCGATGCTGGCCTCTAAGGGCCTGCATTGGCCTCTGAGGAGGGCTCATCTTGGCCTTTGAGGGCCCTCTGCTGGCCTCTGGGTTCCAACGACAGCTCATTCCGGTCTTTTAGGGCCCCACGCTGACCTCTGAGGGCCCCATGTTGGCCTGTAATGAGTAGGACCCACATAAGCCTCCGAGAGCCCAACTCGGTCTCTGATGGTCTCAAACTACTGGCCTTTGTAGTTTGCAGGCCCTGTACTGGTCTCTGAGGGCCCTAAACTGGCCTCTAAGTGAAAACATACATGGGTGGGCTTCTGAAGATCACAGGGCTCACGCAGACTCCTGCACAGCCGTACGTTGGTCCTGATCGAGATTACGTCCTGATGGTCCCGCGCAGATTCCCTCATATTTCGACGTCGGGACCCGATGAGCCGGTGTGGGTCCTGGGGCTGGCAGAGACTGATGAAGTCCTTAGGGCTCAGGGCCAGTCTTTTTAGCAGTAGGACTATAAGGCAGGTTGAGTGAGCCCCAATAGAGCCGCGGCCCTCAGATGCCAATTTTGAAAACCAGGAACCTGTGGGGCCGGGGGTCTCCAGAGGTCGGTGTACCTATTCTCTCCCGCCGCCAAACAACTATATGGGTAAATGTCATAGTCTGAAAATGATCTCTGGGTTTCACATGCTTGTTCAAAGCAAGAGGTATCCGTACTTCTCCGAATTGTTTTATTGTGGTAAGGTCATGAATCCGCGTGCCCGACCTATGCTACACCGATCCGTCGCCATGGTGCAGTGGCCCGACCGGTGGAAACACCGTGGGACGGGAAATGGAACTGGTGCTTTTGCCTTAAATTGAGCTTAAAGATTTCACGCAAGAATGAGGTGAATGAAGCATAAGTAATGCCAACTGCGCGGCGCCTCGTGGACGTAAAAAATTAGCCGATCACCCCCCCCCCCCCCGGTGACTGATAAATGTTATGTCCCGCGAGTGTGACTTTGGCCCCCCCTTTTGCGAGCGGCTGCGACCGCCAGTGCAGCCCTAAAATAATTTTTGAATACCTGAAAAGTCACCTAAATGCTGGAAAGAACAAAATGCAGCAAAAAAAATCATCTGGCAATGCCTTGGGCATCCAGTTGGTATCCATATTGTGTGCTCATAACCCCACACTTCGTTGTATAGCAGCAAAAAAGATAAGAACGTATGTATTTATAAGCCAGGTCGGGGTCCACAACGTTGGCCTAATCTGACCCCAGGAATCACCGTGGTTGATTTCAATTCCGCCGTCCGGCCTGTGGAGATCAGCGTCCCTCCGCGGCCGCTGCTGCTGTCCCCGACTCGGTATCACCCGGGAGCGATCCGGGCCGGCGTGTTTTCAATGCAGTCCGATCGGCGCGGCGGGCCGATGGCCCGCGGCCTGCTCCCATATTGATTACATGCGGCACCGTCGGCACGCCAGCCGCCGATTCCATCTGCAGGTGCGCCCGGCCCGACCGT